TACATCTTGATGGTGTACTGTACTTACGAGTGGTTGACCCCTACAAAGTGAGTCTTATCTTATAATTTCAATTAATGATTGATGAAATAATTTCAGAATTTATCACTGAAAAATAGATTAATAATTGCTTTGGTGAATGAATCGGTGAAGCAAATTAAGCAAAACATTTACAAGTTTTTGGTTTTYCAAAARTAATGATWTTTGTTYTGTAGGCTTCATATGGAGTTGAAGACCCAGAATTTGCYGTCACACAGTTGGCTCAGACAACCATGAGGTCTGAATTAGGTAAAACTTTCAATGTATTGTRGCTGMTAGGTTTAGGTTGGATAACTTTCTATTTAACTTTGTAGGAAAAATCAGTCTGGATCACATCTTTCAAGAAAGAGAGACTTTGAATCACAATATTGTTGGTATGCAAAGGAGACAATCTTCATGTATCTGCATTTTGATGTTAGTTTTCTGACTTTCATTTCTCTTGATTTACTTTAGCTGCTATAAACTCTGCTGCAGAAGTGTGGGGCATCAAATGCCTTAGATATGAGATCCGTAAGAAAAATAGATTAAATATTCTGTGATGTTTTTGAAAGATGCAAGCAGGGAAATCCTCTTCTCTAAATTGATATTGTTATGTGTACTAGGTGATATACAGTTACCTAAGACAGTTGTAGAAGCCATGCAGATGCAGGTCTGTATCTTTCATTCATAATAATGTTCTCAATAGACCAATCCCGCATTCYCTTGGATGAATACGAAACAATGGTTTTATTTCGAGGCTGAAGTTTTATCCAAGAGAATTTGGGATTGGTCTATTACATCGTAAAATCATTATCATCTTTTAGTTGGTATCAAGAATTTATGCAAAATCTTGAATCCCATTTTATCATATTACATGTCTAGGTTGAAGCTGAAAGAAGGAAGCGAGCTGCAATCTTAAAATCTGAAGGTAGTTTTCATACTGATTATTACAGGGATGCCTGTGTACACAGGGAYACCAATATTCATGTTGAAGTATTTTCATTTAGGTGAACGAGAGGCAGCCATTAATGTTGCTGAAGGAAAGAAACAGAGTCAAATTTTAGCATCTGAAGCTGTCAAGACTGAACAAATCAACAAAGCTTTGGGTAATAATTCATTATTTTTACAATTAATGTATCAAATTGATATMAGATAATTTTATAAAGAGGTGGTTTATGTTTGTTTTCAATTTATTTTCAACACTTTATTCTGACCAGGTGAGGCTGAAGCCATCATTGCCAAAGCCAAAGCAAGAGCTCAAGGAATCACTAAAGTAGCAGATGCTCTTGAAGCAAATGTAAGAAACCAATTCTCTTTTCCTGATAAACAGATCAGTTTATGAAGCGTATATTTCTTTCTATACTGTAAGTTATAGTAATAATGTGTAAAATTGACCATCAGAATGCATAACACTAAACATCTAGAGATTGTGACAGATGTTAAAAGCTGGAGTATGGAGCAATGGGAAAATCATCTTCAAACTTTTAATCACTCACTGACTTTCCTATGATGACGAAAACCTGAGAAACTTTTTGGTCCACCTGTATTCCTCCCTTGTCCTTATTGTTGATCCCATAATGACATATGTTGATATCAATCAAACTTTTCATTTTCCAGCTTGGGGACAAAGCRGCCAGTCTTAATGTAGCAGAGTTGTATGTGTCTGCATTTGGAAACCTTGCCAAGTCAACCAATACAGTTGTATTGCCAGCCAGTGTTGGTGATGCTTCTTCAATGGTAGCTCAGGTTAGTTGAGGTGTTGCTGGATGAAAACAATTGAATGAATGGATGAAAATTGAATGAATGAATGAATGAAAGAGAGTATGATGGAATAAATGTAAAAAATGAATTAATACATCTGTTAATGGAGATAAGAATGAGATGAATGGACAAGAAGCAATAGGGAAATGTACAAACATTTTGACAAAATAAATGAGTGGGTAAATATAAAGATCAACTTTATTATATTAAAAAAAAATAACTTATCAACCTAAACTATCTTTCATTCTAAACTGTAGGCATTGGCTGTATATGGACAAGTCACACGCAAAAATGAAACTCCCGGTACCACTCCCCCAGAGTCACCTACACCAYCAATACCTCCKCCTCCAAGTGACTCCTCAGACCTCCCRCCACAYTCAACAAGCAAACCTAACCCCTTTGGTTTTACTGACACTTTGAATTTCGCTGAAGACGAGGCAGACAACGAGCGAAATACGTTTGATGGCCTCCCACACTTTACAGCCGCTACCTCGCCAACTCGCCCAAGGGATTCCTGAAGTGATTTCGTGCCGAGAATGCACACGGATGTCTTGGTAGTACTTATATAAAGAAAATACAAGAAAGGAAGAGAAACTCGAAAAGTTGACCAGCATTTGTCTGCAAGAACGAGAAAAGCACTCTTCTTACATCAATAGCGGCATTCTAGAAAAGATTATATACTGTCAGTTGAAGTGATCTTCTMCGGCACTTAGAACTTTCTGACGCTAATGTTTTTTGACACTCCAACTGATTTTTTTGACACTCAAATGATTTCCTTGAATTGTTAAGATAGCGCGTACAACTCCCGCCATTTTATTTGGTGGATGATGAGCGTTGCGATTGGTTAAAAGAAATGTGGAAGCCATTTCAGTGCTTATTATTATCAAAACGAAATTAATAAATTTAAACTGGATTGAATATACATGTATAGTTAATAAATAGGTCAATAGAATACTACAATCTAATGCAAGCAGAACAGTGTTTTATTGAACAGCTATGTTTGTGCTTTGTTTTTACTCATTTCCGTTTGAAATAGTCATGCCAAAGTGGCGTAAAATCAAAATCTCATAACTTTGTCATTTATTATTGTTTTGTTGACATTAATGGCTTTGATTTGGTCTGACAAGAAGGCTTGCGGAATGGTCTTAACACTAATTGCTGTAGTTGTACTTGCTTTTTGTCATGTTTTCGTGTTATAGTTAAAGTATTCGACTTCTGCTTTACTTTTGCACTGCAGAATCTGCTGTTTTTGTACGTTGAGCCGTTGTCAAGGAGTTAAATGTTTCTTTGTTTGATAAAGAATTAGTTCAGGTTGACACAACGATGATAACAGCTTTACAAATCACGAMACCATTGAACAAAACTATCKAAACTTTCCAGAGAAAATCGAGAGAAAAGARTTGTTTTTCAACTCACTAAGACAACGTCTTTCATAGGCCTTWATGGKCGAGGTACCGCCCTGTTTTTTGCTAAATCTTGTGTGGCACGTTGAGTGAATAAGTTTTTGGTTAATCCTTTTGTTAATAAAAGTCTAGCTCGAAATGATTGGATTGAATATTCAACACTTTGTATGTCTGTTGTCGTTGGCTACGATTGTTTGCTCGTTATTGGAGACCAAAAACCCGCATAAAAGGTTAATTTSCTGTTGTGGTTAGTGAATAACGATTCAKTAATGCGTGTTGAACTCACCCATGCAATGGCTTTGAGAAGAACCGCGGTCATCGCAGTGTAAGAGTTAATTCTGATCAGAACAAAGCTCTCAGACTTATTGAAAAGATATGCATTCTAGATGAGAATTTACTAGAGGTATGGTCGAAACTTTTACAGCTTTTTCAGCGCYTCTCTTTGACAGTACTTTAATATAACGGTTGAAAGCATTGGCGAGGGAGYATTAGTTTAATGAAGGTTTTCCATCGTACAATCTATTTAATRTTGGTAGGCTGTGAATATAACGCAAACTACTACTCATTCAGTAATCATAGTGGTCAAACTTGAATTTTTACTCAGCCACTCAGGCTGGTTGCACTTCAATATCCCTCAATAATTTCCGCTTGCTTTAGTCTGTATTTTAATGCAGAACAAACTCTCCTTAGTTAAGTATAGGTTTTGTGTTGAGAACGGAGAATGATACGAAAACGCATGAGTTTAGACGCGCTCTTTTCGCTGGAACGCCTAGTTTTCAAACTAGTTTTCAAGCTGCTCTCTGTYTGGAAAGCAATGCATTTCGGTCTTGGAGTCTCAATGGCATTAGACTGTATTCAGTACTCAGTCYGGGTTGTGTTTGATTCCCAGCTCCACTACCACGAAAGCATTCTTTTTGGTTCGTTTTATTTTTATTTAATCATTTGGTTTCTTTTCGATAATCATTTCGATTTCTCTGTTTCCTCTATCTCTTTGATTCTTCTAACGTCACGCAAGTCTTATCCGCGTGACCAACAGGTAACGCAATGATCGCAGTACAATTTTGTAATCCTTTCGAACAGAAAATACTCGAATGACTTGTGGCAAAGTACATATTTACAGAGCTTAAGATGACAGATTAACAATCGGGCTATCAATCAAAAATGCAACCTTTGACATTCTCTACTGGTTAATGATCTAAATCAAAAACACCAAATAGCTATACTCTCTGTAAAAACATTGATAAATCCATAACTCCCACGGAAATTACACTCTCAAAYACTAAAGAATACAGCGAGTTATGTAAGGTATGTCTGAAWACTGRGCTCRTTGCGTATAAAGTTCTCCGCGCGCATGGYGATGGRAATAGAAGACATTGTTGYACTAGAATGAACATCACCAGTTTTTGAGAAGTRTTATTTGTGCTAAAAAGGTAGATTCATTACTTCAAATACATGCTTGTATYCATTTTGTATATTGAATATGAGACAAAGCGAAAAAGGCTAGAAGGTTTTGCAGGCAGCAGCCATTGGTGGGTAGTTTCTCTATAAATATGCTGCTCTTATAATAATAATAATTCTTAAATCATACTGTCCTTGTTCATATAGTGTAGGTTCATAATTTTTACTATATGTTCATATCTCGATAACAAGACTAAGGCATAGAAGAATGTCGAATATTACAATGCAAATTTAACTGCAATCGTTCATTCTTTCTATTTCATCATCTCATCATTTTAGGGTTATCTCGACACATGTATGATTTAACGTTTTGAACGGAACTAGCGCGTTTTTGTGGCACTTTATTGTATTTTTTTCTCTTTGATCCTTGGGAAGGCATCATAAAACACTTAATTGAGTGCGGACAAGAATACTACACTACTGTCAACTTACAAGTTAAAGGTTATTGAATATCTACTTACGATGCATTCATATTACGGTATGAAAAGAATTTCTTACGCATGCGTATAATGTTTTTCCGTTTTTTGTTGTTGTTGTTGTTTTTTTTGTAATGCGAAGAACGTACTTTAAATAGGCAGTCGAGGACTGCATGTGACTCAGGTTATTAAGAGATTTAGTAAACTTCGAATACACTATCTTAACTATATGCTGCAAGGAACTGGAACTGGATCACGTGACGATCAACCATTATGTTGCCAGGGGCCAGGGAACCTTTTGTGATGGTTGATCATTCCCGCCTGCCGTTGGGYCCTGTAGCGTGGCGCCCTGTCCCTGCCTACAGTAAACATACACCTATTTTCAAGAAACGTCGGTGAGAAAGGCGAACAGCGATTGTCGAAGGGTGATTGCACGACCGAAAGGGACTATGGTTACACTGCTTTGACAAACAAAATTTCACTTATTCGTTTCAACTTGCATAGAAATGGTGACTAAATAATTCATCACAGACTATCTTATAGTAGACAACTAACAAAGCCCATGGATACTTTCGGTCGTGCAATCGCCGTTACAAATGACATTCGTCATTTTACCCGACAACATTTTTTGAAATAGGTATATCCGTCTGAAAGATTCGGAAAAAAGGGATTTTTATCCACGACATGGAGCGGTTCTTAGAGCTTTAATTTAGCTGTAATCAAAGACAACTTTCTGTATTTGGTTACTTATAATCATTATAAATTCTCGAACGTTTTCTTTGATAAAATGTTTGTATTACTTATAAACTGTATTTTTACATCCACGGTTAATCGACTTGGCACTTAGATTTTTTTTTTTGTCCGGGAGTCAAAATAATTCACCAAAATCACAGTAAAATGTAAATCCAGTCTTTGTTAAAGATACTTTTCTGTATTTAGGTGTAGATAGTCTTCCTTTTGACCAAATTCAGTTCACAATTTAAAGCTTCTTCCCCGCTCGGCATAGTATACAATCGACTTGGCACTTTGATTTTTCACGTCTCTGGATGAACTCCAGAGACAAAATAATTTTTAATTTGATTATACGATTTATTCGGATTATCATTCATTCTCTTCACTAATTTATATTCAATAATTATTTGATAATCAATAATAATKCATTTGCAAACTTTTATATCATTTAAAAGAACTAAATGTGGATCGTTCGAGTGTAATGTTGGAGTTTCAGAGGTCTTAATTGTGTTCCGTTGAATCCCGGCACTTACGTTAAGAATTTCAAGAGATTTTTGTCGTGCTTTTTATCCGAATACTAGTAATGCCTGTCTGATATAACAACTGTAAAACTAATTTAAAATGTGATGATTTGGAAAACAATAACAACAYTTGAACAGTTTGGTGAAAGCCGTCACATTACATCGAACATCGGTATTCGGCCGCAAAGGAGCACTCAGCACCCAACCCCACCCCCGTCAAATAACAAATCCACTGAAGAATGATTATGCAAACCTGTATATCGTTCGCTAATTCCCGAGCTGAGCTCTGATTGGCTCGCTGCTCCCTAAGGATTTTGGTGACGTCATATATTAGCATAGWACTTCGCCGAATAGACTACCCCAATTAGATATTATATATCTSAAGTGTCCTCATAGTACGATGGTCTAAGAGGGTAGCTAAAGGTATGCTCTAGTGGGCGGCTACCCCCTCASTCCCTGGCCTTTTGGTTAAGACTAAGTTTTATGTTCACTCGGGATAGCGTGGAAGGGCCGAAATCTCTAACCGTAACGTAAGCCGATTCGCCGCCTCAGCTTCATAGAATGTCTCGGGGGAATCGTCCCATCTTTTTAGATTTTTTATTTTCATTATTTCTTATGTATTCCGGGGGGGGTACGTCTTTGCCTGAAGTGAAAGTCCTGAGTTCGAGTCCTGCTGCTGGAATTTCTCTTTTTTTCTTGTGTATTGTTTCTTTTTCGTTTGTTTCTTCTTTTCTTTTCTTCTTTCTTTTTTTTCTCTTTGTTTTCTTCCTTTTCTTTGCTGTTGTTACTTTGTTTGCTTTTTTGTAGAGATATTCTCTTTTTAACTTCAAATCAAGGACTGACAAGGAACGCCTGCTACAAGTGGCTAGTTACGGTTCGGTCACTCAACACGATGACGAAGTGACGAGAGGCTCCACAAGGCCTTTCGTCACAAAAATGATAAAAAGCCAGTCATTACAATTTTGACAAGCCCAAAGATTAATTTTAGTGGAATTTATAGAATTCTAGGAACGACAATCAATTTTAAAAAAGCCTGCTTTACAACAGATTTACAATGCATCTGGCAGAATTTTGTTTGCGCCTTTATCGCAGTTCTCTAGATCATGTGTGTCCTGTATGTATACAGCTATTTAAAAAAACGTTGTCGTTGAGCACGGCGATTGTCGAAGTGAGATTGCACGACCGAAAGAGACTATGGTTACATTGTTTTGATAAACAAAATTTCACTTATTGGATTCACCTTACATAGAAATGGAAACTGTGAACCCGATGTTACCACAGGCTTTCTTTCAACTAGCAAAACCCATGGGTACTTTCGGTCGTGCAATTGACATTTGACATTTTGTCCGACAACCTTTTTTGAAATAGCTATATGTGAAATCGCAGTGAAAAATTCCCATTTCCGTTTTAATGCGCCATCCATGTAAAACTCTATGACTGCGTTTGCTCTGTATTGAACTATGAATATTAACTATGAATATGTGCTGTATGGGGAGAATGGTGCGAGGAACGTTTTAAAAACACCAATTTTTTGTTCTTTTACAGGGGACGCTCTATCAGCAGATGGATGACTCTAGAACACTTGATCGCGCATTTCTGGAATCATTACAAGAGGACGCTACATACAGTCGTGGGTCATTGGAAAAGYTCATAGAGTCAATAGCGCTTGGCTGTCTCTTTCTCCTCTCGTTTTTTGCCAACGGAATCATATGTACTGTTRTATTTCAGTCTAATCGACGACAAACTGTGTCCAATATTCTGCTGCTGTCACTTGTTTTCTCAAACTTCTTGATATCAGTTTTAGTTCTTCCATTTGTGATTGCATCAGTCATAGCCGACGAATGGGTGTTCGAGGGYGTCTGGTGTGAAGCTTCAGGGTTCCTAGTCACGTGCTTGACGACGGCCTCGAACACATGTATCGCAGCCATAGCAATACATCGGTACTACATCGTGGTGAAACCGCTGGCTTTGAAGATTGATTTACAAAGGGCAAATTGCATTGTGGGMTTCTTGTGGTTTTCGGCGGCGACATGCGCAGTGCCGCCATTATTCGGTTGGAACTCGTACGTATATTCCTCAGGTAAAGCGGGGTGTACGCTATGGTGGAGGTCCTCAGGGGCTGCTTTAGGTTATACGATGTATTACGTGACAATAACGTTTGTCACGCCATTAATGATTATTCTACTTGTTTATCGAGCGATTTACAGTAAAGCAAAGAGACAGCYCAAACTGGATTCATATCTCTTTAATGGAATGAATGGCCATGTTGCATCTCGARCAGAGCAGAGTTTGCGCATGTGCAGTTGTCTATCAAMCTGTACATCGACTATGAACAACTATCCTCGTTCTTCGTCTTTCTACGACCCGTCATCATCTATTTTAACAGGGCGGCGAAGTACTAAGGTCTCGCGTCACAGCTCCGTAATACGACAGAGAACATTTCAAAGTGTGTCTGCAATTGTAGTGTCCTTTGTTGTCTGTCTGTCTCCTTACTTCGTGTTTAATGTCTGGACGTCTTTCCAACAAACTGCCACGCCCTATGGCATCATTGACTTTTGTACCACGTGGTTGTATCTAAGTATGACAGCTGTCAATCCAATGACGTATGGATATTCTAATAGACAGATGCGACGAGCAGTTAAAAGGCTTCCGTTTGTCAGGCGATTGTTCAAGCACGGACGAGACAGGGCGTATCAAATGGACCCTAGTGCTGTTTTGGCAGCTCCAAGGCGAATAAGACACGGAATGTCTAGTCAAAGTAATGACGCATTAGAATTAAGTGAACGGTCGTGAAAACGGACCTTTAACGTAGCCDGCGTTGTTGCTCAGCGACCCTTTAGGTTCAGTAGCGATGTAAGCACGCCTTTAGAAACGAACAATCCATCACCCCTCCTACTTTCCTTGGCACCCCTTTTTCTTTCGGGATTCATTTCCTTGTACTGGAAACAGGAACAGGAATCCCGATACGAAAAGGGGTACAGCACGCAGACAAATATCTAGACGTCGAAGTGARAAAACACATTAAAAAATGTGTCGATTTGTGTCGCCCCACTTTGATATCTAAAAAGTTGGTTCAAACTTGTCACGATAAATTGATTCGGAGAGTATTAAAGAGTATTAAAACAATGCGGAGTGTCAGGTTTTATCAGATCTGGAGGAATTCCAATACTAAGAGGGACGATCCATCAGACTTTTGAAGGCGGGGGGGCTAAGATTTTGAAAAATAATTTCCTGCACMSCCCGAAGGACCGAAAAGAAATTCCTGCAGAGCAAATTTTGGAAAATCGTACTAAAGCTTTTGCAAATGGAAATTGACCAACGATGAGAAAAACAGGATCCTGAGGAGTAAATAATGTTAAATGGTGGGAGAAGATTTCAAATGAGAGGGTCAGGGAAGTGGGAGAAGGTGAGAACATTAGTAGTYAAATACGCCAAAGAAGATGGAAATGGATTGGGCATATACTTATAAGGGGAGAGCAAGAAAATGACTGTTTGACAGRCTTGGGAGTGGACACCARSAAAGGGAAYCAGTGCAAAGGGGAAACAAAAGATAACATGGAGGAGTACAGTACTAAAATAGCTGAACAGGGTAGGGTGGAGGAGCTGGGATGAAACCAATACAGCAGCAAGGGACAGAGCTGGGTGGAAAAATAGAGTGAAGGCCTTAAGCGCCTCCTGGCGAGAGAGAGACATGATGATAGACCAATAATATAGAACATTTAAAATGTGCTTTTTCATTTAAAAATGAATCACATGGTAGCCAGTTTAACTATTTATAAAATAACACATTAGTCACAATGTTGTTATTCGCGTTCCAATTTCAATCCCAAAGGTAGTCGTGGTCGCCTACAAGAGTGGTTGCCTACTATATTTGAAAAAAATATTGATTTCGTGTACTCTCAAGACCCCCCTATTTTCCAATGAAATTATTTCAGGGCCCCCCAATTTCTCCTCCACCCCCCCCCCCCCCCCCCCCCTCCGAATTAAATTATGACCCGTCCCTAAGTGAGCCAAAATGATCAAAAATCTCCCAAAAGAGATGGTTTAGGTCAACAACATGGAGCATGAAGGTCTTGACAATCATTTGTTTGCGCAAGATGAGAGGATAATAAGACTTGACATAGAACAAGCACGTGCTCGAGGTGACCACAGTCTTGTCATCTCATTAATCAAGGTGTTGTTATWTTGATGCAATTTGTGTTATGTTCATCAGTGCTTGAAACTTGTCGCCRTTTTGTATCTTTCATTCGTATTTTCTATACTTAATAATCGATTTAAGCTGATTTGCTTGCAGTCGTGCGCAGCAGTAAAAAGAGCAGACAAGAATAYCGCGCACTTCAACTAAAGATATGAACGCAGACACCGTATTTTATTTGCATTTTATACTCRAATGCTTAAGGCTGGCAATAACGCTGTAATTGTAATTCATTTGTCAACAWAGAAACATGGTTGGACCGATATTTTCCATCTAATATTGTATATCTACACTGCGCGTTGATTGGCTAAGACGGCTGCTGCATAAAGACACACGTCGTTCTTTAGCGCAAATGTTTACCACTTTGATATTTGGTTGTTTTATTTGCAGGAAAACTGCTTTAAAGATGGGAAAGATCTTATTGAAGCTTGGGACAACGCTCACTATCATCAGGCTGAACTGAATAAGCGAAGACCTTTGACTTCACTGGAAAAATTCCGAATCAGACAAAAGTATGTTGTCATGTGATGTGATGAGTYATGAGTGATGATGATGATGATAAATGATAACTTTAAGTGATGACAATTCTTTTAAGTGGAGGAAATATTCAGAAGGAATTTTCATGTCAGAGATAACCATCATATGATGTTGTTAATGGTTATTTCTTACTCAAGATATCTACCACCACCAAGTATCAGCAAAACACTTCATCGCAAAAAAATGTCACATTCACCCAACGTAAGGAAAATACTGAACCAGTGGCTACTTGAAAACTACAGCTTTCCTTACCCCTCTCCCCCTGAGGTTCTGACTTTGTCTGACAAGACAGGACTAACTGTCACTCAAGTAAGTTAAAAAAAGATATTTGGCAGTTGACAATGATGGTTATAGTTTCTGAAATACTTGACCAACTAAGAATTAATGAGTAGTTATTATTGATAGACTGATCATGATGCATTGATGCTCAGGTCAAAACATGGTTTGCCAATACAAGAAGACGTCTTAAAGACAGTGAATGTGATATGATAGAGCAACCTTTGAGACAAAGTACCAACAGTAGCCTCCCATTAGGCAGCCAGAGTTTGCATGTTTTCCAGTCAGAGGGCCAAATGATGGATAGTGTTCCTCATGGAACCAACCAGTCCCATACCATGCCATTCCAATCACAGATTGAACACCAATATGARAATYTCCCTCAAGCTAATCAGGGTCCTAAAACAACATTTAATGTACTAGTTGAACACCAATGRGATAGTGCCCCTATTACAAACACAATTCCCAGCACATTGTATGGTCCTCAATGTAATAGCATTCCTGCTGTGTGTGAGACACCTTTTCCTGGCTATATTGAAAACCACTGCCAATCAGCATGCACATGCCATTCTGTCCAATCATTGGATGAGTACCATTCCAAAGARGTTGCTGGAACTAATGGAATGGAAGGACCATTTTCCATCAACACAAATCAGCCACACAACAACATCGGGTATACATCAAACCAACTGTTTAACACACCTCCGCTTGAGCTAATTGAACCATACGTCAATCTTGTACCTCCCCTGAAAATCCCTGGAAATGCAGCCATTCTGAACATGCGCAACATGACTGCTGCAGTGCTTTCTTGGCAAATTCCAGTTATAAACAAGTTTGAAGACATGAGCAAAGAAAATGCTGACTGGAAGACACAGAAATTCAACAAAGGTAAGGAAATTGATTTCGTTTAACACTGCCTGGACTGCCTGGACATGGCTTCAATTATTTCTGTGTTTTTATTAGGAAAAGAACAAGAAAATGTGAAAGGAACTTCCAGTGTACTTTCTTATGCAGCTCTTCCTGTTTCATGGTGAAGAAATTCCCTTTTATTCTTGAATTCCTTGCATTGATATCCAGAAAGCACCACCACCACCACCATCATCATCATCAT